AGGAGGAGGAGGAGGAGGAGATTGGATTTATACCCCGCCCTTCACTACCCAAAGGTGTCTCAGAGCGGCTTACAAACTCCTTTCCCTTCCCCTCCCCACAACAGACACCCTGTGAGGTAGGTGGGGCTGAGAGAACTCTTGACAGAAACTGGTCTTTTTCAAGAACAGCTGTGCCAGAGTTATGGCTTGCCCACGGTCATCCAGCCAGGTGCAAGTGGAGGAGTGGGGAATCAAACCCGGTTCTCCCAGATTAGAGTCCACTCACTTAACCACTACACCAAACTGGCCACAGCGCTCTTAAAAGAATGTTTAAAAAAAGATGGTGCTCGCCTGTGTGGGCAAAAAAGGGCGGGAAAACAAAACGACATAGTCTAAAATGACAAACTGCTTCAGACATGGCTCCTTACTGGTACGGGAAAGGCTGTGTGAAATGGCCGTCCCTGTACTGGCTTATTACAAGATGGTACAATTATGGTTTTAAAGGGGTCATGTGAAATCCCATGTCTTGCAGCTCTCAAACATCTGATGTTTATTCTATGTGGCTCTTACATTAAGCAAGTTTGGCCACCCCTGGTTTATTATAAACCCCAACATGAAGTGTGCATGCATTGGAAACAGCCCTTCTATGAAAGAGTAACCCTCCAGAAACCTGGTTCTTTATCCAGGTACTGGTCAACTGAATGTGAAATAAAGCCCCCCTTGTCTGCAACATAATTTTGTCCATTTCCTTATCCACTGGAAGATGAAAATTGGAACTGTTTACTGAACTTTGCAGAGTAGGGGATCATGTCATCATAAACTGGAAATTCCCTGAAACTAATGCCTTGGCGCAACATAACATGCTGGGAGGGGGTGTTCTTAATAATGCATCACCAAATGGCAACTCAATTTTCTCTTATAAAACACAAAGTTAGGCCCTGACAGCTTTTCAGTTGGCAGAAGAAGGGCCAGGGTTCTCTTTTGACCCACCAAAGAGGCCCAGGATTATGGACTCGCACTAAAGGAGATGGGCACTATGGAGAGGATGAGAATGGGCAAGATTGCCTCTTCTTCCTCTGGTGCCAGCAGTTAAATTAGCAGGATCCAACCCATCTATATATCTAATAGCCAAGTTGCCCCCTGGTGTGCGGATACTTATTTCCGCACATCGGGGGCAACTGGAGGGGAAGGAGAGTTTTGTGCACACGTGGGGCGGTCCCCAGGTGTACACAAAAATCAGAAACCCTGTAAAAATATCGGAGGGATGTTTAAATCCCCCTGAAACTGACAGAGCGTCCCCCGCGCATGCGCAGGGAACGCTCTTCAGCCGGCCTCCCACCGCCACCGCGGAGGGGGGGGGGAAGAGAGCAGCGAGCGGCAAGCCACTCGGCCCTTGCTTCGACTTACCTCTTCCTGCTGCTTCCTTCTCTGCCTCCCCCCCGCGAGTATCGTGGGTCCACCCCTTGTATAACTTTAAAACCCATATAGATTTAAAACACAGCATCTGGTTTTAAAAGAGGTCACCTTTTGTTCCTGAATAAAGAAGGAACCAAATAAAAACATTCTTTCCTGATCTGAGACTTCGAAAAAAGAACTCTGTTTTCTTGTAATACAATAGCTGTGGCCTTCAAATCACTTGCACTTCATAGAAATTCTAGGGAGCACAGTGAACAATTTTAGGGTAAAGGGTAGGAGGAATTTAGCCTAATTAAAGCTCTCACTGATGTAGGAAGAATTGTGATGTGGTTCTCATCTGATTTCAATATAGTTTAACTTTCTCCTGCTTAGGTCTATGACAGCCAATTTAAAAAACAACATCACTGTTTACATTATGCAAAGAACAAAAAAGAAGTTACTTCAAGGCCCATTTAACATTCATATGTTTTCAATATCTGTTTATTGAGCATTGATGAAAAGCAGTCAATCTGAAAACATTTGCAGCAACCATTTCATGGCAACGCAGCCTACATCCATACATGACATCAGAGGTCAAACAGCTCAGCATAATCAACCATTTTCACAAAGCCAGTTACTTTGATTTTGTGCTATTAGGCTTACAAAAATAATTTTGCACTTTTAAAATATATCTGATTTTCAATAAATTACAATATACTTATTATTTAACAATGATATAAAATAGATAACAGTATTTGGAATTTGGAAAAAAAGGCATTTCACTTCTGAGGCTTCAATCCTGTGTGCATGCACGTTGCATTGAACTTAGCAAAATTACTTCTGAGTAAGCAGGTATGGGATTTTGCAGTGCATCCTAAGCAGAGTTATACCCTTCTAAATGCATTGGCTTCAATGGAGTTAGAAGGGTGTAACTCTGCTTAGCATTGCCCTGTTGGCAGTCTCTGAAATCATCTTATGGTATGTCAGAACCACATAGAGTCTTAAGCATCAAAACGTCAGCCCTTTTACCTCCTTGCTGAGCTGCTGTGCTAGCATCAGATTTGCTCAGACTACAGAGGAGAAAACCATAATGTGGCATCAAAAGAGATTAGAAATGTGAAATTTCTGGAAATTTCTGGAAGTTGGGGTTCAGGAAAAAAGCAACTTTGGGGAGTAATTCAAAGGTATGCAGTACTTACTTTCTTATCAAGTCGGAATTTACTTTGAGAACATAAACATATAACATATAACATATAACATATAACTTAACACATAAAACATTGTTTGATATGAAAATTTTAAATATACATGCCTTCATTTTATTAAAACAATAATTACAACTAGACTGAACACTGAAGATGGTGTTCCAAACTATTGCTCACAAACAGGGCAATCCCCTGAAAAGTAAGTAGTGGACTTAGACAGGAGTTAAACTGAATAGGATTGCACTGTAAGACCGCACTGTAAGACCTTAAATTCTACCACTTGGGGAGAGAAACATGAAAGCTGAAAACAGAAACTATTAACATGGAAGTAAACAAAGGAGGATTTATTATCTGGGCTTGAAAAGGATATGAAAACCCCTGCAGCATAGTGCAGAAACAAAAGGATCTATTACGTTTCAGAGAAAATATATTTTTTAAAACCCTTCCTTACAGTATAACTAAGGAGTCGCAATAAATTAAGCTATACTGTCAAACTTGACAATATGATCAAATTTTCAGTGATCAACATTATATGACAATAAAATGATCAATATTATATGACAGTAAAGTGTAATATTATGAATATTTAGTTGGGGTTAAGTTTCTCCAGTAAACATGCATAGGATAGAGCTACAAGTGTCACAACACTTCCCTTCTTGAATTCATCGTCAATATATCTAATTCTCAACGTGCCTGAATCTGTGGATACTTAAAAACTGGAGGTTGGCTGGTGAGGGGGAAGGAGAGAAGAAAGCAGGAAGAGGGGTGATGCTATGATAGTTTTCTGGGAATTGATAGAGTAATCAGTGGGCGTAGACTGGAGTAACTCTGCATAGGATTGCACTGTAATGCAGGGGTGTTAAACATGTAGCCCGGGGCCGAATCAGGCCCCTGGAGGGCTTCTATCAGGTCCGCAGAGGAACTGGCTGTCTTCTGCTTCTTCTTCCAGTTCTGCTGCTGATGTGTCATCCTAGGTTTCACAGCTTACAGATACACACCTGAACAGCATACTCAAGATTGCAACAGCACAGACATTTTGATGCAATAATTCAGAGCAAGAGGTGTCAGTTATAAGAGACTGTTAAATAAACAAAATATTGCAAGAGTGCATGTTTTTAATTTAAGTAAAACAACCCTATGTGGTTGTGTCCTTTATAAAGTTTATATCTCTGCTACCTGGCGTTACATTTTATGACACACATGGCCTGGCCCAACAAGGTCTCATTTATGCCAGATCCGGCCCTCATAACAAATGAGTTCGACACCCCTGCTGTAATGTATACCTTAAATTTTGCCACTTGTGAAATAAACATAAAAATGTGATGTCCCGTGCAAGTCCCTGTGGATCCCCTGCTTTTTTTTATCAATATCTCACTCCATGTCTCTAAAGTCTAGCATAACGTATTCATATAAGAGGCATTAATCCTGAAGCATTCATGTGTCCTATTCTGAAATTTATATATATTCCTTATTTTTTCAGGTTACTGACTCTCTAGATGGGGCCCTTTAAGAAGTAAATACAGTGGCATTATTGAAGCCATTGAAATTAGTGCAGCTTGGCCCACATACATGTGTTCAGACTTAATGTATTAGATGAGTACATGTGTCACACCAGATGCTGGCAGGAAGTATTTTGGCTTCCAATCTCTACTGTATATTCAAGAAAATGAGACACTTGCTTTGATTAACTGTTAAAACTGCTGGCTTCTGCTGTTTCATTATTTCTAAATTTCAGTCTGCAATTTTATTAAGATCAGGCTTTACATCCTGCTAGAAATACATACTTCAAAACCTTGGAAGATGACATATGTATAAAAGGACAATAAATTAAACCTCTTCAATTATGATTCAAAGGCATTGCAAACAATGAACAGATTTCTTTTTTCCCCAGTCACCTTCTAGCATCCACGAATTACATCTGAATTCAAGCTTTTGTGGGGGGGAGCTAGCAAAGATGATGAAAAACCCATCTCCAAATGGAATAGTATTTGTCTCTTTAATAGCAGGTCTAAATTATCTATCCTGAGTTTTCAGCATCCATTGTCATGATGTTTTAATACAGTGCTTGTGCCAGAAAAAGAAGTATTGATCAACATCACAATGGCTTTTGTTTTGGAAGAGATTGCTGAGAAATAACTGTAACTTGGTTTGTAGGCATCTTGTATTCCTGGCCAGAGCTTTGTGGAGGGGAAGGTAGTGGAGTTTCAGGTGTTGCTGGGAGAAAAAATGAAGAAATTATCAATTTGATTATAGTATGAACAGTGGGCATGACAGATCCTGTGTTCACATCACACCTACAGATGAACTTGTCATTTATATCCCTCTGGTTTGAACAATTATAGCTCTGATCCCTGAATTCTATTTACAATTAACTGTTTTGTTACGCTTTAACAGAATGTACCAGATTTGCTCCAAGAATATGTTGTAGCTGTCCTTTTTTTCAAACTCAGAGAGCCAATGGGAAAAAAGATATTACCGCCTCTGCTGCTCATTTGTAGACCAGAAATTTTAAGGATTCTCAAACATTTTGTCACAACAGATACATCTGTTGTACTGCCCTTATACACAGCAGGAAGTCAAATCCAATCCTGACTCTCTAATCCATGTACATCTATCAGACATGCTTCTCAGCCCCATAGGCTTCTCCCTCCAGAATCCACCCCTGCTACTTCAGTGACTGATGGGCTCTTTAGGAATGGCTCTTCATTCTTACATATCTCATGAAGCTTACCAACAACCTTACATCTGCTCTAGTAACCCATTCATACTGTGGGCCTAACTGGTCAGAGACTACCTGCTTACCAACTGCACTGCAGGGACAGCATGAAACAAGCAAAAAAAAAAATCTTCTCCAACCACAGCCCATTTGAAGAGAGCCAAGCTTCCTTTGATTTTCCCAGCAACAACTCTAATCCTTCAAATTTTGGGGGGGGGCTGAATACTAAATTCTGTGCATGTAGAGAATCACAGAATTACTTTGATAAGTTCAAAATCAACTTGGTCTTCGAGACCACAATCCTAGACATGCTTACTTGGGAGTAAGTCCCTTTGAATACAGTGAGTAGACATGCTTGTTCTGCCTATCGGATAACTTAACATTGCACACAAATGTTATAATCAAAATAATGAATGTGTAGCCACTTACAGATCTGTTCTCTATGTATGGGAGCAGACACTGAACTTATAAGCAGGGTTTGCCCAGTGAGTGGATCTTGGGCTAGATGAGGATGAACTGGATGAAGATTTGTGGCATCATTGGATGTGCCTGTAAGTATACATCAGTTCAAATACATTAGTTTGCTACTGCAAGAAAGGCCTTTGTCCAGCTATAGTCGTGGAACCTCTTCTCAGTGACTTAACTGTGCTGCTTGCTGGTCTAACAAGGATATAAATGGAAGGACTGTTATTCAGTGGGTTGGATCAAGACTAAATTTTCCAACAGTGAAATAGAAGGTTCCTGCCTACCCCCTCCCACTGCATCCCACTGATCTCCTCAAAATGTTGCTCCTGACAGATAGGGGACCCTCAGGAGGCTCTGGAGTGAAAAGAGGGAATTGGTGGATCTTTCCAATTTAGACTGGATTCAACCCCTTTTTAAATGCTGGGTTGAACAGGCCATGGGGCATTTTCATCACACATTTCCTAAAGTTAGCACAAGGATTAGAACTATTTATGCTAAATTGCATTCTTTCACGTTGTTCTTGGAAATTGGTTCTCAGCAGGTACAACTGGCATCTAACTACGGATCCATAGGATTTCATTCAATCATTGTTTCAGTTTAATATATGTGTCACAGATTTTTTTTCTATATTGTTTGATCTGTTTCATTTCTTATAATTTCATGAAAAAATATGTTGTAAAATAATGTTTTAAAGTAAAAAATTCTAACAGATATTTTGAATGGCAATTAAAGAAACTGTTCTTTGGATATTACTTAGACAAATGCAGTATTTATTTTCATTGTTTATGTTCAATTGCTTTTGGATTTTATGACACATTTGCAAATATTCCATTTTCTGTTTGTAAGAAAGGTACAGATTCTCATCTATGAAAAATTAGCCCAAGTTAATTAAGAAAACAGAACAACACAGTCTGGTCAACAAACTGGGAAAGTAAGATTCTGTAATATGAAATGGGCTTAAATTCAGGTAGTCTGGATGTACTGGTTTGCTGAGATGGATACTATTGGTTAATCATGAACACAGTGGTCCCTCTGCTTTTTCACTGCATTATATGAATCCCTGATGAATCCCTGATGATTAATAATGATGAAACATATAACACCTTTTGAAAACAACAGTGTGGGACATGCTGCAAAATATTTTAATGCTGAGCAATGCTGCCCAGCTTTCAAATGATGCAGATCTTTTG